CGGGCTGCTCCAGGCTCGGAGCAAATTCTCTTTCCTGGCTCTTCTGAGTCAGTCCTGGCGCCACCAGCACTGTCTTGCTGCATGCCCGATATTCCCTTTGTGGCTGGGCTGAGGCTCACCCTGCTCTGACCCCACCTTGCCACCCTGCAGGTCTCTACGAGGGCTTCGAGGGGCTGCAGGCGGAGGAGTGCGGCATCCTTAATGGCTGCGAGAACGGGCGCTGCGTGCGCGTCCCCGAGGGATACACCTGCGACTGCTTCGACGGCTTCCAGCTGGACATGACCCGCATGGCCTGCGTGGGTGAGTGAGGCCCCGCGTCCCCTGGCCGCGGCTGCTCCCTGCCGGTGCCAGCCGGGACGGCAGCAGGAGCAGTCCCGCTCCTCTTCCGAGTCCTTTCCATACGGCTGCGGGGGCCCTCGTGGAGGTTCAGCCGGCCACTTTCTGCTGACAGCTGGGTTAGAGCAGCTCTGGGCATCACCGAGAGCGGCTGATGTCTCCTGTCTTCTCACACCACTCTTGTATATCACAAGCCACTGTTGCTGTGGTCAATGTGATTAATGTCCTCTACGTTTGCCACTGCACTGGTGAAATTCCTCACTTTCCACCTGCCCTATGAGACACGGTTTCTAAACCTTCTCTCTGTATTTCCTCTACCTCCCTATGCCGTGTCTCCGTCCTTTTCACATTCTATGTCTCCAAGCCAACTGAGACCTCAGGCACTCAATAGAGCAGATGAAGACCCTCTCTTTTTCCTTAGGCACAGCACTTACTCCAACTCAGGAGTAAGTAACTCAGGGCATCCTTATTGTACAATACAATGGTGCAGCTTCTTCATACAGAACCCATGGTCTATACCACCCCAAATGCAGCTGTGCAGAATGGCTGCCTGAGATGTTACTCCCTCTTCGGCATTTGTGTACTGTTTTCCTTTCTTTGGCCATAATGCTTTGCATTTGCCTTCAGTGAATTTTGTCTGGTTGAATTTGGACCACTTCTCTATCAGAACTCTACAAAATGCTTGCAGTCTGACATCACAAACATGTATTTTACAAGCATGGGGATTCTTTCTTTATCCACCTTAATGACAACATTTGCATGGAGTAAGGGGTAAGGACAGACCACTGCAGCTTTAAAGGGTTTTTATTTTAACAGCCAGGTATTGCTAATTGTCTTTGGAGTGCAGCTGTGCTGTCCATTGTGCAATTGCCACAGTTTAATCTAGAGGGTATTTTCTCAATCTGTTTGAGTGTGTCATGTGAGCATGTGTTGAAATCCTCACCATGGCCAAGGCACATCATATTCACCACTTCTCCCTTATCTGACAGGACAGTTATGAGGTCAGGGAAGAGGACCAGATTGGCTTAACGTAATCAGGCCTTAACTGATCTGCACCAGCTACTTAATGATCCTGTTATCCTTTAGAAGGTTATGACCTAATCACTCACAAACCTGAACTGCTTAGGGATGAGCAGACTGTAATTCTGGATTTTTGCCTTCTCTGTTTTTGAAGATGGTTATGAGATTTATCTTTTGTTGCTTTTCTGAGGCCTCCTTTATGCTCCTGTCTCAGAGAGAACTGTCAGCTTTTCATGGACTGCAGGCAGCATTAAGCATGTGAACTTGCATTGCTGCAAACCTTTATGGATGTAACTGCTTTGTATCTGATTGTTGAACTTCTCCATTGCAGAGTGGCCGTTCCCTCCCTGTGCTCCTGCACTCTTGTTTAAACATTTCAAGCATGGTCATGCCCTCTCTGATCACCACGAGTGTTTTTATGATGGCTGGAAGAAAGCCTGTGTTAGCTGTTCCAGCCAACTTGACTGGCTTTTGTTTCCTCTGTTGATAAGAAATAGACTGACATTCCCCATTGTTTCCTGCTAACATATTTATGGAGCCTTTGCTTGTTGCCTCTTCTATCCTGAACTAACTAGCCCTCATTTTACACTGGAGCCTGGGTTTTTTCCTTTCAGTTCTCCTGCTTGGTTCTTCATTATCATGTTTCTATCTTGCTGTCTTCAAGCCTTTAGAACACTCCTGCAGCTGCTGCATCACTTCCCCTCTCACTTCACTATGGCAACAGCTTACCCATGCCCTGTAAGGTCGGCTGTGTGTCCCCCCCTGCCCAAATGGGTGCAGACTGCTAGCAACACCATGCTCTTGCTTCTGGTTTTTGGGTCTCTCTGGGCTAAAGTGTCCTTGTTTCATTTCTTCTCTCAATTTGGTGGCCAGACCAGCTTACCTGCTCTTTCATCTTTTACTTTCCCTTGCTTCTGAGGATGTAAAGCATGTCTCCCTTGACGTGCCTAACTTCTTGTGCTTCCAAGCAAAGCCATCCTTTTCGTGGCAACATCTGATCCTGAGGTTTAGTGCAAGTCCACGGTGTCAGTTCAACAATTGGTTTGGCTGTGTGTGAAGATTACCTTGGTCCTCAAGCTCTCTCTTCTCATGTTTCCCCTCCCCATCTTCCTCCTGTGGCTGCCGCTTTCTCTTACCTCCCTGAAAAGTTTGCTTCTAGCATCCCTCCCTGGGGTTGAGCTTCCTTTGTCACATGGCCTCCTCCACCTATGCTAGAGATAATCCAAGGTCCCAGAGCTCTTTGGTCCTCCCAGGGTGTATTGGCTACTCCTGGGGCCTTCTCTCTCCCTTGGGTGGCCAGCTGAACACATCAGCTGTTCCCCACTCCCTGCTGATCAGTGGGGATTGGGTCTGGAGTTTGTGGTGAGAGGGGTTGGGCCTGCCTTGGTAAGTGAGGATTTGGGCTCTGGAGGTCCTGTGGGTGCAAAGAACAGTTCTGGGGTTGTACATGTGTGCTCTGTCCAGTTCATGGCCCCACCACAAGCTGGTGTATCTCGGTGTCAGGGAGAGTACATGTAGCAGAGCAAACCTGTTGCAGTAGGGCAGCTGCTGTAGGGCTCACGTGCACACTCCAGCCTGACAAGCTGGCCAACTGAGCCCTTTGGCACAGTTTGCAGGTTAATAAAATAAGCTGTTGTTTGTGCAGCACGAAGTCCCTCTGTGTTTTGGTCCTGGAGATGATAATTGGCCTCTCAGGGCCGCCATCACTTGCCTGGTTGACCTTGTTGGATCAGAAAAGGGCATTTTCCAAGGCTAGAAGTGGCCTTTTCCCCAGATCGTAGACTATTACAGCTTGTTAGCCAAAATCTGCTAACCAGGGAGTGTCACCAGCTGCAGAGCATGAAGAGGCTCTTACCTGGTATACATGGAGCAGGGTTCAGGATGTTGCTGAAGGGTACTGGGGATGCCACCCTTGGATACTACAGATCGTCTGCAGATATGCTGAGGGCACGAGAGGCTAGTGGGGTCACTGGGCAGGTGACAGCCTTCAGGTGGACATCCTGAAGGTACTGGTTGGGGAACAGGGCAGGCAGAACCTGTATGGGAGGGCCGGGGGGACGGCAGGGGCACAAGGAGATGGTTGTGGTCTGGGACTACTCACTGTGCCACCAGCTCAGCCCAATCCTTCTCCTTGCAGATATCAACGAGTGTGAGGAGGTGGGCAGCCCTGAGCCCCTGTGCCAAGGTGGCACCTGCGAGAACACAGAGGGCTCCTACCGCTGCCAGTGCTTGCCAGGCTACGTGGCCCTGGCCCGGTCACACCACTGCGTGCCTCAGACAGCCCAGAACCCAGCAGCTGCGTAGCTCTAGGAGAGCAGGGGTGAGGGTGCTCCCCTGTGCAGGGCTCTGGGACCTGGGAGAACAGAGAAGGGCGTCCTGGGGCTGCGGGTGCTTCGAGGCTCTTTGTTCCTTCCCCTTCAAAGTGCACAGCTTCCCCACCACCTCTCTCTAAAGGTCAGGGCTGAGCTCCCAGCCTCTGCACCCCTCTTGGCCCTGCCAGCCCCTGTTCTTCCTGCAGCAGAGCCCACCCCAGCCCTCGGCACCTGTCACATTGCCCTGTGTCATGGAGGCTCACAGGACACCTTCCTTTGCCACACAGCCCCAGCCTGTCCCCCTCACCCTGCCAAGAAAGGGGGTTCATCTCCCTGCCACTGCTGCACTGACCTAGTGACAAGCCTTACCCACACCGCGGGTGCTGGCCCCACTCCTTGTGAAGCATCCAGCCCCCAGGCCAGAGCTTTAAGATGGGGGTTCCATGCCAGCTTTCTAGAGCTGCTGCCTAACCTTGGGGCATGGGAGAGAGGCCTGAGGGGCTCCAGGGCCAGCTCTCCCTGTGGCCTTTAGCCCCACACTTTGTGCCCCGTGCTGGCTGGGCAGGGGGAGGGGGAGCAGGTCCAGCTTCCTTTCTGTAAAGTTGGTGGTTTTTTTTTTTTTTTACTGAGTCTGCTGGAAACTTCTCTCATGTTGTTAAATAAAACATTTATTTTGGGCCCCTGTGGCTCAAGACACTGGGGTTCGTCAGAACTGTGCTTGTCTTGCCTGTGCCAAAGGCAGAGCCATCCCTCTTGTAAGCCATTTCTTAGCCCTCTCAGCTGGCACACAGCCTTCTTCTGCTCCAGAGCCAGAGCAGAGAGCTTTCCCAGGCCAAATCCCCAGCCCAGCACCAGTGGCAGGAGCCAACCTCAGCTGCTGCAGACAGCACGGAAGTTGTAGCTGTTCACACCCTGCCTTGTTCTCATAAAAGAGGGCTGCAGTTCCCATATGAGAAAGTGTAGTTACTGAGCTTGGTAAGAGCTCTCTGGCAGGTCTGGGAGTTGGTTTTCCAGCCCTGGAGCCCTCAGTATAAAGACCTTTACCTATGCTACAGCAAGCAAGGCTGTGTTCTATACCACCACCTCTTCAGAGAACCTTTGCACAATTTCAAGCCTGCATAGGACCAGAAAGGCAGGAGCACAGCCAGACATTGCCAGCTGGATATCAGCAACAGAAATGTTTGGCTGCTTCCAGGTCACCCACACTTAGGCCAGCATACCACCTCTATTCATGCCTTCAGCTAAAAAGACCAGCTGAACCCCAACTATAAGATGCCCAGCTACTCTGCTTTTCCATCTGATCCTCTTCACTCACAGAATACAACACAAACAGATTTTTTTCTAGCCTTTATTAAAAGGAAAGTTATAAAAAGAGATTCAGGAGCTTGCAGCAGCTCCAAGTTAGTAGTAGTGCAAACCATTGGTTAGAGAAAGAATCATCCCTGCAGAGACATTGAACGCCATTTGGCTTTGCATCCACAAAAAGGAAGTTTTCCCAGCTGGAGTCCTGCTGGCTTGAGCAGAGGCCCAGGACATAGCAGGCTGTCAGCTCAGGGAAAGACTCCTCTCCTTCCTTCTGCTTCAGCTCCATGGATAGCAAATGCAGGTCCCAAGCGTATCCCGATCACAACAGAGCAGGAGAAACACAAGAGGGTGGATGCAGCTGGCATTCTAGAAGAGGCACTGAAGGGTTACCAGGTAGCAGCTCAGACAATAGCCAGATTCATCGCTGAGAAATTCCTTTGTGAGGACAGACAGCTCCATGTCTAACAGATAAAGTGCCTCCACAGGGGAGGGTGGCTGGAGGGTGATGCTCAGTCACTCCTGCAGCAGACACTGCTGCCCTTTGAGCTACTAGGAGAACACCCCAGGGGTGTCACCTAAACACAGTAAGAGCACTCTGCCAGGGGCTGATCTTGCAAGGAACACAGTTCTGGCTGTTCAGAGGCTGCAGAGCTCTGAAGGAAGCAGTAAGAAATGTTTATTATATAAAAGAATTTGGCCTGTGTTGTTTGTTTTTCCCCTCCCCAAGCCCTACTAATGGCAGGGCTCCTCAGCTGGTAATCTGTACTGGTATCTTCCAGCAGAACAACATCTGGTCCTGGTCATCCACCAGTTCCCATTTCACAATCAGTTTAATCTGAAAGAGAGAGGAGCAGAGGAAAGTAACATTCAGAAATTCTTAAGGCAAGGACATGGGGAGAAAAGTCATCACTTGTGTGGAACAAGGAGGTCCTGGCAGCTCTGCACAGAGGACAGAGCTGGGGCCGTGCCCTTGCATGCAGTAGGTGGGCCACACTCATGCACTGATTCCTAGAGTACCATCTGTGCATGGAGAGGGCTCAGTTACATGACACAGGAGACCTCTACACACTGCACTCGAATTCCCACTCCCTGAAAAAGTAGAGTGGAAACCCCCTGCAACATCCTCAGCTGAACCCAGCACTCCAGAGCTGAGTACATCTGGGAGCATTCAGCTGCATGCAACAGGCTCTGGTAGGAAGTGTGGCACAGGAATATACTGGAGCAGCTGAAGCCATTTCTGAGCAGCTGGAGCTAGGCTGCTTCCTTCGCTGGGTCAGTCCCAAAGTGGGAACTTGAAACTAGAGTCATACAGCAGAAAACACCAGACTGTTTGTGGGGTCCACTCTCTCTCACCAGAACAGAATAAGGCATCTTCCCTTAAAGGCAGGTGGTGAAACCCCAGCAGAGGCAGTAGCTGAGAAGCTGACCAGATGACTTCATACTTACACTGGGGTACTCGCTCTTCACAGGGAGTTTATTCAGGTAGCTGTAGGAATGCCCCTTCTGAATGGGGCACTGGATCCCGGACTTGCATCCATCAGGCTCAGGAATAGGGAAGGGTATGTCCACGTGCAGCATCTCCCCGTACACCCTTGCTTTACTGCCCTGGCTCTCGATCTCTGCAAAACACAGAGAACACAAGTATACCACACGTGCCCTTCACATACCCCAGAGGCTGCATGAACACAACTATGGGACACTCCTCCTCCCACCCAGATCCTTCTCCAGCCACCCCTCTCCCCTCCCAGCAGTGGGACGCAGAGATCACCTGCCCCTGCCCACTCCCGCTGGGGATGTGCTCCTTACTGCTGGCAAAGGTGACGTTGATGCTGTAGGATGTCCCCTTGTGGAGCAGGCAGGGCTGAGTGGGACAGGGGCTCACGTTCACCTCCTGGATGCTGCCGTCTATGGAACCTGCAAGGAAGAGTCGGGATTACCGAGCCGCCTCCGCCCGCTGCTGCGCTCCTCCCGCTGCCCCGCGGCCGCAGCCACTCACCGCAGTCAACGAAG